TTTTTATAGAAAATTTAACATAGAGGTTTTTAAAATTACTAAAGAGTTTTAAATTTTCATTTGTGGATTGATATATTTTTTTATCGTTTTATAAGTTTATGGAAAGAGTTCACTCTACTACCAAATAAATTATTAAATATTTTTGCAAACTTTTAAATATAATTTTTGAAATTATCAATCAATATTTTGATGTACAAACTCAATTGAAACATACTTTTAATAAATATTCATGAGTTAAGACAGTTGTTAGGAATATTATATTCACCAAACAAAAACAAAACATTTTTGTTGTTTACCGCTAAATTTAATAAACGAAAAAAACCTAACAAAAATAGAAATACAATTTATAAAATCACAAAGCAACAGACATTTACCGTCTCTTTTCTCTTATCTTCTCTCTCTCTTTCATGCACTTGCAACCGCGCAGTATTAGTATATAAAAATCAAACAAAATGTGTGACGACGAAGTTGCTGCTCTGGTTGTTGACAATGGCTCCGGCATGTGCAAGGCCGGTTTCGCCGGTGATGATGCGCCCCGTGCTGTCTTCCCCTCAATTGTGGGTCGCCCACGTCATCAGGGTGTGATGGTCGGTATGGGTCAAAAGGACTCATATGTCGGTGATGAGGCTCAATCCAAGAGAGGTATCCTCACATTGAAATACCCCATTGAGCACGGTATTATCACCAACTGGGATGATATGGAGAAAATCTGGCATCACACTTTCTACAATGAGTTGCGTGTCGCACCTGAAGAGCACCCAGTATTGCTCACCGAAGCACCATTGAATCCAAAAGCCAATCGTGAGAAGATGACTCAAATCATGTTTGAAACCTTCAACACACCCGCCATGTATGTCGCCATCCAGGCCGTACTCTCCCTCTACGCTTCCGGTCGTACCACTGGTATCGTATTGGACTCTGGTGATGGTGTCTCACACACCGTACCCATCTATGAAGGTTATGCTCTGCCCCATGCCATTCTCCGTTTGGATTTGGCCGGTCGCGATTTGACTGATTACCTTATGAAGATTTTGACTGAGCGCGGATACTCGTTCACCACCACAGCTGAGCGTGAAATTGTACGTGACATTAAGGAGAAATTGTGCTATGTTGCATTGGACTTCGAGCAAGAAATGGCTACTGCCGCTGCCTCCACCTCATTGGAGAAATCCTATGAATTGCCTGATGGTCAAGTGATCACCATTGGTAATGAACGTTTCCGCTGCCCCGAATCACTCTTCCAACCCTCTTTCTTGGGTATGGAATCGAGCGGTATCCATGAGACTGTCTACAATTCGATCATGAAGTGCGATGTTGATATCCGTAAGGACTTGTATGCCAACATTGTCATGTCTGGTGGTACCACCATGTACCCTGGTATTGCCGATCGTATGCAAAAGGAAATCACTGCCTTGGCGCCATCCACCATCAAGATCAAGATCATTGCCCCACCAGAGCGTAAATACTCCGTATGGATTGGTGGTTCCATCTTGGCCTCACTCTCCACCTTCCAACAGATGTGGATCTCGAAACAGGAATACGATGAATCCGGCCCAGGCATTGTCCACCGCAAATGCTTCTAAACGCTCAATGAGAAACAGAAAACTGAGGGCTTTTACGCTCCAAACCTCCCCCTTTGCTATGTATTGTATTTGTTTTATTTTAATACTTTATTTTAAAATTAATTATGTATGTAAATATTTTTATAAGAACAAAAATGTAGCAAGAACAACGGCACTAGATATACCAAAGAAAACGTTGTTAACGCAAATGATGATAAAGTCGATGATAGGAATTTGAAAATTGAAAAGAATAATGAATAATGGATAAAACGATTATATGCGAGAGAGCAATCATAAAGAGAAAAAACACTGCATTAAAAATCCCATGAAAAGAAATAAACAAATTATTGAAAAATATACTATATACACCTACAATTTTATTGAAATCTACAAAAACATTAATATCTGCTTTTTTATTGCCCTCAACTCACGAGTATACGAGTACACATACATTTTTGTGTATCCATAAATCATCTGGACATCTCCATTAAGCGCGCATTCCGCTACACCCCACACCGGGTAACGTCATTGCTGCCCGACTATTAGTCCATTAGTGGACTAAAAATAGCGGCGCGGCGCTGCAAACGGCCGCATGCAACAAATCAAAATGCAGATCTCCTGCTACATTTCCATTTCGGGCGCTATTCCTTTGCACTTGACTCGCTGGCGTTTTATATATTTAGACACCTGCACACAGGCAGCCGCGAGCGTCGATCGCTGTGGTGTTGGGTGCTCGCGTACTGAGCAACCCACCACACTAAGTTTCTTCCAAATAAAGCCAGCAGTGTGCTGGGTGAATCACCCTTCTACGCGATGGTTTTGTTAATCTTCGTGTACGCAGTCCGACGGCATGTTCACCCACGATGCGCGCCGGATATATTTCGTTGTCTGCCACAAACACACAAGTGCACACACAGAAACGACTACATAAATATAAAAATATGCTTGACGTTTCTAAAAATATGCCATCAATATGTTTGCTTGCTGTCATAAATATACAGTTATAGTGTTGTGTTTGTTGTTTGGTTTCGTAGCACGCACATCTTTCAAAATTTCTTTTCCATTTTTGGCCGCGCGCAGATAAATTAATGACGGCATGTACACGAATGCATGAACTTAAATGTATATTTGTATGTATGTGTACACATTGAATGATGGTTTTGAAAGCGTAATTGTTTATGACTTTTCCTCAACGCTAAGGCTTTGATGTATTTACCGTTAGCTTCGTCCTAAAATCTGGTGTTTTTATTTTCTGTTGAAGGTAAGTAACAGTGTAGATTCAATTAATTGAAAAAAGTTGCATATTATTCAATCCTCAGAAGAGTTGTTAAAGTCAATTTCCGGAATAGTCTTCAATGCGACAATGCGATTCGCTTTTAATGGCTTCAATAGACTCAGAATGGTTTCCTCGCAGCGGTCGTTTGAATTGCTGAACACCCAGACGTTACACGCAGCTGACTTAGACGAATGCGTTGATTGCGGTAAGATATTGGCGAAAAACGCACAAAGTATGCATTAGGTTGTCAAAAAAGTCTTGCGGTATTTTCGCTAGTTGGCGCTGAGAGCGCGTAGTTCTAGTTTTATTCCCGCGCTAACACGTGTTTGATTGCTTGTCGTTTCTTTTAAGTCGTTCGTGAGTTATAGCGTCGCAAACATGGAGCAAAATAAAGAGAAAATACGGCATATTTTACAGTACTTCTACGATAAAGGCAAAAATGCATCTCAAGCCGCCAATAAAATTTGTGCGGTTTATGGACCCGATACAGTTTCCATTTCCACCGCACAACGATGGTTTCAACGTTTTTGTTCTGGTGTAGAGGTGGTCAAAGATGCGCCCCGCTCCGGAAGGCCTGTCGTCGAAAAATGCGATAAAATCGCTGAATTGATCGAAAGAGACCGGCATAGTAGCAGCCGTAGCATCGGTCAAGAGCTGGGCATGAGTCATCAAAATAATAATAATTTTTAGTAATAATTTTTTGGTTTCGAGTGGGATTAGTGGCACATGCAAGGAGATGACCAATGTCATGCGGAGACTCATTACATACAGGACATATATTGGAAATGTCGGGGTCTATGCTGGATAAGTAGGTGTTTAACCTGCTACAGTATCCAGAACGAAGCTACACAAGAGTCACTCTCGTTTCTCACGGCAAATCGAGCTCTTCGTCTGCAATGGATGATGGTTTGACTACGAGTACTCCACTCACTGAAAGAGAGTCGGAGAAGGTGTTGATGGCTCCACTGTGAAGGACGGTCAATACTTGTCGGAAGTTTCTTGAGCCCGAAGTTTGGTCAGCGTAATGTCTGATATCGTCGACGTAGTGGAGGAATGATGTTCTTATAAGGCGGCGACGGTCCAAGCAGGAGACTGCAAGGATAATTTCTGAGAAGTCTATTATGTTCCTTAACTGAGAGCATAGGAGCCTCACTATGCAGGTGTTTGATAGGAGATATCAAGAGGCATTCTGTCGTAGTCCGGAGTGCAGCGTTCTGACAAGTTAAGGATCGGTAGGTCAATTGCTTTGTATGTTGCCAACAACGTTTCTTTATCCTTTCCCCATGTACTGCCGACTAACGACTTGAGGATTTTTTTGCGGCTCTGTACTTTGGCGATAATCGCGGCCGTTTGAGAAGTGAAGGAGCACAGTCTTTGAAAGTCATAAGAAAAACAATTCCCACGATCTACATTTTCGGAATTGACATAGATTTTATCCGGTCAAGGGCCGTTTAGATAGGTAAGTCTTAAAACAAAATCTTCCTCACCGCCGGTCAACTTTTTTGGCAGTCGTCCTGGAGATCGGCTGCGGGATCAAAGAAATTCAGCATATTTCAAAATGAATCGTGATTATAAAGAAGTATTAAATTCTTTAAATATACAGTATGTTCATCAAGAAGCAATCGGCTTTTTTGCATGAAATAATTTGAAACCGAAGTAGGACTTGATTTTTAAAAAACTTGATTTTATTGCAATTGCAGAAACAGTCAAAGACTTAATAATAAATTGAGTTCTGCATTTCTTAGTTTCCATCCAATAGGCTCCAAGATGTCCCACTGAGTGCTGCAAAGTACTAAAAAAATCGAAGACATTTGTGTAACATTATGTTGAATAATTTCGTAATGCCACTCTTAAAGACTTAAAAAGTGGACAGTCGATTTTCAGTAGCTTCACAATCATTCGTCATAGACATAAACATGCAGTAAATAGAACTTGCTGCCTCCTGGTATCCAAGATAGAATCGAGTAATCAAAAAAATATTAAAAAATTAAAAAAAAAACACAACAATCAGAAATATTTTTCCATATATGTATTTGTATATTTTATTAAAAAATATATTTTTTAACAATAAAATCTATATATCAGTAAAAGCTAAACTAAATGTACATAAGTAAATATTGTATATGTATTTAAAAATATTTTATATTAGATATTGTATATATGCATATAAATATATTGAAGTATATATAGAGTATATAATGGGTAAAAGAATACAACGTATGTATTGTCTTTTAATTGGAATTAATAAAATATTATTAGGTATTGCGATATTTAATTAATGGTAATTGCGACCATGGAAAGAGGATGTTGCTATTATAAAATAATACTCACAGTATTTATATGTATGTATGTATGTATGTAGTTAATTTAATGCCAGCTAAGTAGTAGTTAAGATTAAGGTTTCAGGTTGAGGTTTGTGGCTCTTACAGAAATATGCTATTTAGAGTTATTTGTGTTGATTGTGAGGAATATGGATATTCTAATTTATATTTTATAATGTTTGGGCAGTAACAATGCAGGAGAATAAAAAAGTAAACATTTTTAAGTATAAAATTAAACTTTTACCAGAGGCAGCCAATGAAAATTTTTANTAAAAAATAAACTGCAATAATTTTACTATAATGGACTCGATTCTAAGAAAAGTTTTTTTTCATTTTCAAGGCACTAAAATAAAAAAAAATCATTTACCAGTGCTTTGGCTTAAATATAATTAACCAATTAACCGTTGCACTAATTTTTGTTCGTTTATTATAGAAACATATCTCAAATTCGCATTACTAATTACTTAATTTGCCAACTATGCGCCTTGTCATATCAAAATACCTTACTCCACGCCAATTATATAAATACCGATAATCAATTTATGATTTATTATGTGTAAAAAAGTAGCAATGTGTGCTATTTATGCTTTAAAAAAATGTGTAATGACCGCTTTTGGCAAGTGTCAACTCAACTTGTTAACGCACACACACAAATATTTGTGCGCGAAATTGATTAATAGCGTTTACAAGCGAGTGCACGCTTCAAATTGATTTATGTAACACATACGCACACACTACACTGTTGCATTATTAACTCATGCTCAATAACTCATAAAGAATGCAATATGAAATTAAAGGGGTGTCATTTGAGACACCTCATTGACATAACAGTAAACCACAAACCTCGCTTAAGTTCAAATGCCATACGCGGCTCTAAGTAGAAATACTATAAACACTTACTTTCATTTGGACATGTGTTGATGGGATCTTCAAAATGCTTTTCAGGCGGGCACTTATGCGCAACAATTGCTTTAACTTTAGTAATATTGGAACTCTATATGTATATATGTATTTATGTAGTACAATAAGGCACAAACATTCGTTTCGTTTTTTATCATTGCTCAGTTGTTGATAGTTTTAAAAGTTTTTATACACATATATAATAAATATGTGTGTGTTAGTGATTCTTACATACGTTTACAATTCTTATTCTTTGAGGAAACTTAAGTACATAATAAGCTGCGCATAGTCTCTACACATTTACATATTTTAATTAAGCCAAAGTTTTGTATATGTTTGCGTGTGTATATAAGTATAAATGGTAAAATGGAATTCTGTATTAAGTACGCATGAAAGCATTCTGCTAGCAATGGAAAATTCGTTTAACGTAATTAAAATGCTATGCCGCAATAAATAGGTAGGCCAGAAATCTAAGTAGCGGAGGCATAAGCGTTCATGTTGATTTAGTAGAAAACGTTTCAGTTCTATAAACTAGAAACGCGTTAGCTGCAATTAGAACAAGAAACACGTTTGCTTTGATTGACCAAAGCGTATTATAGCTCACAAATAAAAACAGTTTTCCATACAAGAAGTTGATTTTGAACGGTGAATTTGTATGACAGCTATAGGATATAGTGATCTGGTATGAACAATATGTTCGGATATCGTTGCATTGTCTTAGATAATAGCCCATGCCAAATTTGGGGACTATATGTAGTCAAATAAAAAAATTTTCCATATAAGAATCTGATTTGAAACGATCACTTTATACGACAGCTATATGATATAGTGATCTGATATGAACAATATGTTCGCAGATCGTTGCACTGTTGTAGACAATTCTCAAATAGGAAAGTTTTCCACTTAAGGATCAGATTTGGAGCGATTAGTTTTATGGCAGTTATAGGATATTGTGGTCCGATGCCAACAAATGAGCAACTTATCGGTCAAAAAAGGACAAGTGTAAAATTTCAAATCGATATTTCAAACCTGAGGGACCAGTTGACATATGTATATGTATATGGATAGATAGGCGGACATGGCAGAATCGGCTCAGCTCGACATGCTAATCATAATATATCGTTTTCTGCTGCGTGTTACAAACTTCCTGACAAACTTTACATACCCGGTTCAATATTTTTTTCTGCCTAAATAAATTTGCTTAAAAAATGTTCATGCAGTTTTCAAAACTTTACAAGTTGAGCCCTTATGCCATCTTGCTACATAATAAATTTCTACTTGCGCTTAAAACTTTTCTAATTTCTGGAATGCTTTTTTAAATATATTACTTCATGGAATCGTCTTTTTTTAATATAATCGGCACTTACGTCATGCACAAATGCATTGACATGTTCCTTTAAAATTTCAATAAATAAATTTCTAACATTTTTGTATAAATTAAGGCCACTTAACGGTCGCACTCTCTAAACTGTTGTCTAACTAATTTAATTATCGGAAAATTGAGCACTTACAATTGCGTTGTTATAACGGATTTTCGTATAATAGTTGGTTCTTTGCCTTTAGGCGCTGAAACCACTTCGGATGAAACCAGCCAAGGTGACACCATGTCGTTGTTGTTCGGAATATGAGTGACGGAATGATTATTTTGATGCTGTAGAAAGAAAAAAAAAGTTAGTTAATAACATAACCTCGCATAACATAAGGAGAAGCATAAAAATATGAAAATTACA